CTTGGCGGAGGAAACTGAGGCAAGAGAGCAGCGTCCCAGAGGAGCAGCGGGCTTAGCCGCAGGGGGGTCGCCCCCAGTGGGGTCTCGGGAACCCGGACCCCCAGCCTGAATCTTCTGGGAGTCCTGGGGAGGGGGGCCTTGAACTCCAGCACTCCTAGGTCTGAGGGAGGAGGGGCTGGGGGCCTGGACTCCTGCATCTAAGGGAGGGCACTGGGGGTCTGGACTCCTAGGGACGAGGCAGCTGGGGACCAAGACTTCTGGTCTGAGGGAGGAGGCAGCTGGGGACCTACACTCCTGGTCCCGGCCGGGTCAACATGCGCCCCTCTTCACACCCCACCTTCCCATTCCCCATCTCCCAGCCAGGGCAGGCAGCCACTCCAGGTATGTGCGGTAGAATCTTGGACGGGCCCTGGCCTGTCCTGTGTGGGGAAAACATTCCAGGAAGCAGCCTCGGGGACCCAGGGCTTCTTGAGTGTGGGCCCTCAGGTACCCGGGTGTCCAGACCACCCCACCCCCACCCTGTCTGGGAGATGAATGGGCCGAGGGGGATGTAATCTTTTCCAGCCTCTCCCCTCCCCTCTCTTCCCCCATCTGCTTCCCATCCCAGCCAGGAGCCATCACCTGGACAGAGAAGGGGCCTCTGGCGAGGGGGCGTGGCCGTGACTCCTGGGTACCCTACATTTTAAGAGGAACACTGGGAAGGGGAGTGTCCAGGGGTTCAGGCCCCCTCCCCCTCCTGTCTATATAACCTGCCTATTCCCTTCTTCCCCTAGGTGGCTGCCCCCCCCTCCTGAGATGTCAGGAAGGAGGGGGCCACCTGTGTCCCCCACAGGGGCCCCCTGGAGCCTGGGGGCCCCCAGCCCGGGAGCTCGGAGGCAAAGGAGGTGCTGACAGGTCTGGTAACCATCCTGTCCTCTCCCGCCACCCTTTCCCAGAACCACAGGCTTCCAGAATGTTGTAGAGAAAATGCAGTATCCAAACCTTCCCCTGCATCTCCCAGCCCAGATCAATTTCACAGATGGAAACTGAGGCCCTGTCTGAGAGAGGAAGTGTGTTTCTTGCCTTCTTAGGGGCAGTTTTGAGCCAAAGCTGGGCCTCCCTAGGATTCCAGAACTGGCCTTTCTCAGAATTTTGGGACCTCAAACCTCCTCCAGGCTGCAGGACTTAGGGTTCCTCAGGAGTGTAGAGGCAGTATTCCAGTCCCGACTCTGGCATTTGCTGGCTGTGTGACCTGGTACAAGTTACTAACCTCTCTGAGCCTGTATTTCCCCAATTGTTGGCTATTATTAGTAATAGTAGTAGAATAATTATAATTATTAGTAGTAATAGTAGTAGAATAATATGGAAGTTGGGCATTATTCAATCCTAAAATATAGGATCCCCAAGGTTCTAGAACAAGGGCCTCCCTGTAGTTCTGGCATGCAGATCCTCCCTAAATTATTCCCCTCTTCCCTAACTCCACCTTTCTTCTTCGTCCTCAGGTGCTCAGCGAGATGCTCCCCCATCCCTCATGGTCCCTCCCCATCCTCCTCCTTTGCCTCCTCCCCAGTGTCCCAATGGAACCCCACCCCCCACCCTCACCACTGCCCCCATTTCCAGCCCCTGAGTGGGACCTCCTGTCCCCCCGAGTAGCACTGTCCAGGGGCGCCCCCGCAGGTCCCCCTCTGCTCTTCCTGCTGGAGGCTGGGGCCTTTGGGGAGCCACCAGGCAGCCCTGCTAACCGCAGTCGGCGAGGGGTGAGTGAGACAGCCCCAGCGAGTCGCAGGGGAGAGCTGGCTGTGTGCGATGCAGTCAGCAGCTGGGTGACAGACCGCCGGACAGCTGTGGACCTGCGTGGGCGCGAGGTGGAGGTGCTGGGCGAGGTGCCTGCGGCCGGTGGCAGTCCCCTCCGCCAGTACTTCTTTGAGACCCGCTGCAAGGCTGACAACACTGGGGAAGGTGGCCCCGGTGCAGGTGGAGGGGGCTGCCGGGGTGTGGACCGGAGGCACTGGGTGTCCGAGTGTAAGGCCAAGCAGTCCTATGTGCGGGCATTGACCACTGATGCTCAGGGCCGTGTGGGCTGGCGATGGATTCGAATCGACACTGCCTGCGTCTGCACACTCCTCAGCCGGACTGGCCGGGCATGAGGCCCATGCCCAGGAATTGGGCAAGCAGAGGAAGAAGAAAGCTGGATGCTGAGGAACCTCAGGGGTGACCTGGCTGCTCTGGGCCTCATTTTGGGAACTTGTTAAATGGTCACAAAATCACAGCTCTCTGACTGTAAGAGCTCAATCTGTACAAGACAGGTGGTGAAACCAAATGGGGTTTTGAAGGATGAGTAGGAGTTCTCCTGTGAACTCCAGGGTGATAATGATGATGATAGCAGCCAATATTTTCTGAGTGCCTACTGTTTATCAGCTCTAATACACAACTTGTCAGATGAACTCTGGTGGATTTGACCATTGGAGGCCTTTGGCTTCTAAGTTGTTGACTATATGATCTCAGAGGATATCGCCTTGCCCACCCTGGTGAGAGTGACAAGGAGGAAAAATGTCAAGAAGTAGGTGGGGGAGCATAAAAACTGGAACATGTAAGCAACTAGCTGGGAGCTAGGATTCGAATGTGAAGTTTACTAGGTCAGATGGGGCAAGAATGCTGTTTTGAGGTAGTGACCTACCCGTCACAGTAGGAACACAAGTAAGGTTGAATGATAGGTCAGGATGCTTGAGAATTTGGCCCTGGAAGGGAGTTGGAGTCAGGTTTCTACCACTCTTCCCTGTCTCAACCTTTACCCCACACTGGGAAAGAAAGGGACCTTAAAATGTCTAGCTTGAGTAAAGCATGAGGTTCTAACCAATTGGCTTGACCACTGGTGAGAATCAGGGGTCATTTGGACACTGATAGGCTTTGAGTGGGCCAGGAAAATCCAATAGGAGAAGGGACCCCAGAAGCCTGAATAAGAAGATCAGGAGGCAGTCTCAGTTTTCCCTGCCTGAAGAATGGGTTGATGGGATGAATTAGTGGGGGCTGAGGAGGCAGAGGCCTTGATCAAAAGGTCTTTAATGTGAGGCAGTGACAAGGAAAGTCAGGGGCAGACCCCCATCCTCAGGACACCCCTTCATGCAGTACCACTCCATAGCCTCACAGCTGGTACCAATCACAGACTATTTTAGGGCCAGCTTTGGGCTAAGGACATAGAAATCCCCATCCCCCACCATCACAGACTGGGTCCCCGGGAAGGGTGGATCGTCGGGGCAGGTAGGGGTCTGGCTGCCTCTGTGGCTACACCTGTGCTCTAGGTCTATTAGTCTATGCTCTTTATTGCCAGTTCCCTGTCTCTTCTAACTTCCTGTCGCTTGTCTCTGGGTCAGTAGCTCTCTTTCTATCTCTTTCTTAGCCACCATCTCTCACCCGTTCTTGCATTTCTTGCTCATTCATCAGAGCTCTTTCCTCACCACCACACCCCTCCCTTTTTGGCTAAGTCTTTTCCCGCGTATCTCTCTGCGGGTCTCTCCCTCTGCCCCATACCCAGGTGGGAGTTTTCAGCCAAATCAAAGGCAGCAGGACAGATGCTGACTCTGAACACACAGGGAGGGAGGGACAGCCCCGAGGTAAATCGTTACCGCCGAGGTGGGCAGGCCTGGGGGAGGAAGCAGAGGCCCAGGAGGTCTGGGACCCTGTAGGAGTGGGGGTGTCCCCACGGATTTCCTGATGTGCTGGGTAGTCTGTTCTCCCCCTCTGGGTCTCTGTCTTCTTCCCCAACAGGGTCTCTGTTCCCTCCTTCCTGGATCTCTGCCCCCCCCAGGTTTCTGTCCCCCTCTCTGCTGTCACCTCTGTGAGTTTCTGTCTCCACACCC